CTCCCCCCCCTCCCCCCCCCCCCCCCCCCCCCCCCACTTACCTACCTGCCGCTCGTCTCCTTCGCGCAACCAGGAAGACAATTGGGATTCCCCGAACTTCCAGGTTGGGGGGAGGGTACTTTGGGCAGAGGAGCCATAGGCTTCTTCTGCCGTCAGTCAAGCTCTGACTGCAAGGGTGGGGGCATGGCCAGCCGCACGCTGTGTGTGTCTATGGATGCCTCCACAGCAGTCGGCTAGCTGATGGAGGCACCCATGCAGAAGGTCTGGATACCACTAGAGAACGAGGAAATAAAAAATACAGAATAAAAGAACAATGTAGAGCCCCCCATAAACCAGAAAATTAAAAACAATACATTTATTTTCTCCGGTGTCACAGATAGCCCCTAAAGGTTTCATGAACACTGCACAATGGATTACATTTTGCTTTTTTACTGTTATTTATTCAAATGCTTAATTAATCATTTTTCATTGCACAGGTGACTTATATGGGATCTATAGTAGACACCGGCTCTTTAGAAATCAATGTTAAAAATGGAAATGAAGGTGAGATAATTCGTTTTATGACCAACCCACCAATAACAGCTGTATAAAACTACAAACATTATTTTTCTAGCTTTGGATACAGTGGGGCAGGGTTAGAAACCCTGCTGAGTTTTTACTGCTTTTGGTACTCCATTAGAGAGATTTACCCTCACTTCCTGTCCTGATTTAAAAGACAGGAGGTAAAAAAAATATTCAATAGAGACACTGATCTGACACTTCTAACTTTCCCTGTTAAAGAAAAAAATTTCATGTGTGTTGCTCTTAGAGATTTACTCTCATTTCAAGGCTGGTAAAATGTTTTCAGCAGGACAGAAAGTGAGGACAGACGCTGTGCTGAGCGACTTCCCCTCTGCTGTTAAAACCCGGGGGGTGACATATTCGCTCAGCATAGCAGCCAATCAAAGAAGACCTAGTATTCATTCATAAAATTCTAGCCATGTGCTGAATGGCTGCTGTGCGATGCGAGTGAGTGATCCCTATGTATTACCAGCTCAGCACAGCGGATGTACAGGATCCAGAAGGTCGCTGTAGAGCACTGTAGCAGCTGTGGTTACTACAGTGTTTTACATGACCACATTGGCCCTTCCAGGTATAACATATACATATATATATATATACTTACATTGGGCCAAGCTAAATCAATGTAAGTACTGTATATATTAAAATGTATGACTGAAGTTCTGCATTAAGGCCCTGTGTTGATGGGCTGTTGTTTGAGTCATTGCAAATGCAAAAAAGAAGGCCAGCTGCAGGTGAAATTCACTTGTCATTGAATTCTAAATGATTCCAGAAGCATCTCAAACACGATGCCAAGTCCAAAGTCTATCGACCCAGGTCCTAGGAGGATATTTCTTTTTTCTCATACCTGATTACCTCATATGATTCTGACCTTTATAAATGCCTTCTCTATCTCTGGCAGATCTACATGGCAAGGCTACTTTTAATCTTCCTGTAAGTGGAGGAAAATCTTCCACTCTTCGTGCCCTTGCTTACATTTTATTACCCGATGGGGAGATTTTGGCAGACTCGGCAAAATACAACATGCAAAAATGTTTCAAAAATCAAGTAAGTTGCCTAAATATTGACCTCTTGATCTCTGTACCAATGGGTTATACCCCCACTTGCAGGAGTAGGATGCCAGGCACAAAAAATAAAGGTTAGCTCTGGGGGTAGCTCCTGCCTGTGGCCACACCTATCCAAGGCACCTCAGTTAGTCACAAAGCAGAAGATACAAGGCACAAATAGACCCAAATAAGGGAAGGTGATGTGTCCTTTAATGAAAAGGATTTTATTCTCTTTCGCTCATTGAAGGGCACAACGGAGATCTTGATCTCTGTACCAATGGGACGTCTCAAGGCAGTGTCCACCGAGGGGCAGGAATAATAAAGAATTGAACAACATGTCCTTCAATGAACGAAAGAGAAAACTGATTTTGCATGATCTAGTCACAGGTTTACTTTCTGGCCTGGGAGAACTCTGGTACAAACTTTGTAAAGCTTATTCTAAACAAACTTACTAAGCATCAGCTTAAGTGCACTAAAATGTATTTGTTACTAAAGCAATGATGTTGCTATGAAAATAAAGCACAAATAAAGCTGCCCATACACCTTACAATTATCTGCAGATTTTCTGGGGTCAGATGGAAAAGGTGCAACAGATTCCTCCATCTACGCTAAACTGTGTGGATGGAGTAATCTCTACCTGGGCCAATCTGTTGCACTTTTTCCATTTGACCACAGAAAATCTGCAGATAATTGTAAGGTGTATGGGCACCTTAAGGCATGACTTTAAAGAAAGCAATGAATAATTAGCCTTCCCACTGCCCAGATGAGGTGCAGTTGGCATTCAACTTCATTTAGCAATTTGTTTAATATAGTTCACTGCTGTATCTTACATAGTATTTGAGGTTGAATAAAGACATTAGTCCATCAAGTCCAACCTATTAGGATCTCATTCTAGGAGTACCCGTACCCCTGTATATTACGGTCCCTTAAGAAATCGTCCAAAAGTTTCTTGAACAATTCCACATTATTTGCTGAAATCACCGCCTGTGGCAGTGAGTTCCAGACCCTAACTGATCTTACTGTGAAGAACCCCCTTCGCCCCTTGTGCTGGAATTTTTTTTCCACCAATTTTAGGTGGTGGCCTCTAGTTTTTGTAATGGAGTTAATTTTAAACAGTTTATCGCTAATGTTGCTACCACCATTGAACATTTTGTACATGGAGATCATATCCCCCCTTAATCTCCTCACCTCCAATGTGAACATGTTTAAATTTAGTAGCCTTGTCTCGTAGCTCTGGTCCTCCATACCCCTAATTAGTTTGGTTGCCCTCCGCTGGACTTTTTCCAACTCAAGGACATCTTTTCTTAGTACTGGTGACCAGAACTGGACCGCGTACTCCAGATGAGGTCGAACCAATGATCTATAAAGTGGCAAAATTATAGACTTGTCCCTGCAATACATCCCCTTTTTAATACAGGACAAGACCCTGCTAGCTTTGTTTACAGCAGCCTGGCACTGCAAACTACCTTTCAGTTTGTGGTCTACAATGACCCCCAAATCCTTCTCCATTTCTGACTTCCCCAGCGGCATACCCATAATTGTATAACCCATTTGTTTATTTTTAATTCCAAAGTGCATTACTTTGCATTTATCGACATTAAACCTCATCTGCCACATTAATGCCCACTCCCCTATTTTATCCAGGTCCTCCTGTAATGTTATAGTGTCTAAGTCCGTGTCTATTACCTTCCCTATTTTGGTGTCATCCGCAAACACGGAAATATCTTGTTACCAGGTATCATTTGGGTTCTCTCCTGATGAGGTCCTTCCAGGATCGGATGTGTCTATAAAGGTCCAGGCTGCCCCTGGCTCTCTCTGTGGTCTCAGGGTGGTGGACAAGAGTGTAGTGCTGATGAAACCAGACAAGGAGCTGACTGCTGACAAAGTGAGTAACACATTCAAGTACTGGACTGTCATTGTTACAGCGCTGTTGAAGCATCACATTCTTAGCATCAACCAACATCACTGCACAAGTATTGCTTTGAAAAGTAGGACTGTTAGGACATAATGTGTATACCGAGGAGAAAAAAGCGTTCAGCGCCTCGGCCCTCTCCTTGTCGTTTGTGACTAGCTTCCCGCTTTCATCCTTTATTGGGCCTATCTGCTCCTTTCTCACCTTTTTACTGTTAATATATTGGTAAAATTTTTTGGGGTTCTTTTTACTATCTGCAGCGATATGCTTTTCACACTCAGTTTTAGCTGCCCGGATTTCTAGTTTGCATTTTTTGTTACATTCTTTGTAGTTAAGGAACGCCAATGCCGACCCCTCTGTCTTATATTTTATAAATGCCGCTCTCTTGTCCTTGACGTGTTGTTTTACAGTTTTATGGTGATCACCAAAAGCCACAACACATTTATTAGAAAGAAATAGCTAGCTATTGATATATGCCATACATTTAAAGAGAAGTTACATAGTTGCAATGTTTTTGAAAGGTAAAATAGGAAACAGAAAATCTGAAAAAGAAGAGAACATTCTGCATAAATCGTTGCATTTTCCGGGTGACTGCACGTTTTGGTGTTTGGGGGGGCTACTGGAAAGAGCCTGATGACAAGAGCATGGTAGATATCCAAAGCAAAGTTAGGACAGTTGTATAGGGTCCAAGAGGAGCCACAGAGAGTGGTGTGGGGATCAATAATCTGTATAGACAAGCTGGGACTGGGCTGCCGATGCAGACAAACTGTTACTACAGTGCAAGGACAGGGTTTGTACCGACAAGCTTCAACTGGAGTACAAGTCCAGGATCTATGCAGGCAAGCAGGGATGCTCTGTGTCTCACCAGCAGATGGAGGGAAGATATGATTGAAGTGCAGGATCTACTAGAAGCTGGCCTTCAGCAGGGCCAACAATGGTGCAGATCGGTTTGGCTACAGGACAACTCTCAGGGTGCCGTTCTCAGAATTGCCTTGCTGGTGCAGGCAGGATCAAGCAGAAGTAGCATGAAACAGAATTATTTACAGACTCAGGGTGAAGGTTAGGACATGTAGCAGGGAAATTTAGTCAGAAAAAACAGGCAGTCATAATTGGGAATACAGAAAACAAACCTAAATACATAAGGTAAAGCCCAAACTGAAAACAGGCAGCAGCTAAAAGGGCAAGGCAGTATAGATTAAGCCAGGGCTCAAAATTTCAGGTCCTGAGCTACTAGCCAGGCCTTCGAAGTTACTCGCCACCAGTTGCCCTTCATAACACAAACAAACACACACAGGGCACAACGCGCACACAGCACAACACACATACAGCCACAGCACAACGCACAGGACATTACACATACAGCCACAGCACAACGCACAGAGCATTACACATACACATTTCATCTGAAATACATTTTTAGTATTCGCACATGTCTAATAATATGCGTGTGAGGGGGGCAGTTTTTACTTTTTTTAAATAATTTTTTATTATGTTTTTATTATTTTATTTATTTTTATTGTATTATTTTTTTACAGTTGGGGGGGGGGCTTCGGGGAAATATTAGGGGTCCAAACAGACCTCTGACATTTTCCTTTTAAAATAGAAAAGAAATTGAGGACCCCGAATCCTCAATTTCTATTTTCTACAGCCTCAGCACTCAATGAATGGGAGGCACTCGGTACAGAGGCTTCCCATTCATTCAGACACTGATAGTAAAATATTTACTATCAATAGTTTCTGAATGGGGAGGAGCCTCTGTACTGAGTGCTACTCCCCATTGAGGAAATCCAGAATGAACAGGCTGTAATGTAAATCACCGCCTGTTCATTCATAACTGGGGACACATAGAACTATGTGTCCCCAGTTATTTACAAACACTTTACAAATCGCACCAGTGTTTGTCCTTCGCACACGGAGGATCGGTAAATATCAATGATATTTACCCATCCCCCGCTCTGCCTCGCACAGAGCCGCTGTCATCCTGAAACTGACAGGATGACAGCGGCTCCGATCTCCACCTCGCTCGGCCATCCTGACAGCTGCGGGCATGGCTTCTCTCGCTCTCGGACCGGCTTCTCTCCTCACGGCTTCTCTCCCGCTCGGCCATCCTGACAGCAGGCAGCGCTACTTCCTGCGACCCCGGACGGACGGACGAGGGAGCGCTGTCATCATGTCGGGGAGGAGGAGAGAAGCCGCCCCGAGGAGTGCCTGACTCAATGGCTTCATTTCCACTCGCCCCCACGCAATTTTCACTCGCAATTTGCGAGGGGGCGAGTGGAAATTTTGACCCCTGGATTAAGCCATAAACAGGCATGCTTAAATTATGGATTAGCAATGTTTGCTGAGGGTGGAGCCCCTAAATAACTACAAACAGACAGGTGTGGTAAAGGTTAAGATGCATCTTGGAGCCACATACAAGTACATGTATAACAGCACATGGAGAATAATTGATGGACAGAATATCCCAGAAACAAAGAGAATATAAAAAGATGACGCAGGACATTTTTTCTGAAATTTATAAAGTGACCCTATCCTGTGCACTTACCTATGCCAAAAACCTTTTCCATAACCAATGCCAAAGCTAGTATGAAGTTTGTGATAAAATGGCTTATGCATAAGGCTTGAAATATTCAATGCATTCTTTTTATTTTGTTTTATAAGGTTTTTGATCTATTTCCATATTGGGAATTTGAAGATTATGACTATCGTGTCCAGGACCATGATAATCCTTGTGTATCTCCTGACTTCATATCATCTCCATTTCTCAGAAGGCCAGGGCCCATTGTTCGCCCATGGTTCCCTAGGTTTCCTAAGGGAGATGTTGATGTGAACACCTTATTTAAGGTACATTGGAATAAACTAACTGGTTGGAAATATTACTACACATTTTTGGCTCTTTGCACAGCACAGGAAGTACCTGAACAGGAATAGTTTGGGATCTTCTTAAATGTACAATGTTCTAGAAACAGATCATTCCTTGAAGAAATGATGATGGGATTCCAATGTTTTTCAACTCTGTTATACATATAGCAAAAATATCAATATTAAAATAGAACTTCAGAAAAAGTACATATTATCCAGTTATGTTTGGTATTCCTTTAAAGAAGAACTCCAGAAAAATTACAGACTTGCCCTTCCAGTGGGGCTACCCCCGCATTGCAAGAGTTAAGTGCTTGTTTTATCTAGGGGGCTCAAAGCGTTTTACTCACCTGATCCCCGGTCCCACAGTGGTCAGCACTCACACAGTGTATAGGATGTGAGGATGCCAAGGGACATATTATTGCTGCAGCAGAGGAGGAGACAGACAGGACAGAGCGCTCAGTCGGCTCCGAGGATCGGGTGAGTATAACTTTATTTTGGAACCTGGACAAAAATGAGCACTTAACCCTTGCAGTGTGGGGTAGCCCTATTGCAATGGATGAGAACATTTTTACCCCAAGTTGTTCTTTAAATGTATCTGTTCAGTTAATTTATTTGTAATATTACATATATCTATCCTTTAGTTATATTAAAGAAGAATACAGGAAATAAAATAAATATGGTGTTTTTGTACCCCCTTACGTTTAATGTTGAAATGCATATTTTAAGTTCAAAATAATAATGTAGGCTAGACATGAGATTAGTTGGTTAGAGATTAAAAAAGGTTTGTATAGCTGAATTTTAATATTGTAATTATAAAGGGCAATTTTAATTTTTATCCCCTTGAACTTCTCTCAGATGGCGCCTGTGTTCCTACTAATGTCGGGGGTGGTTCTCTCATGAAGATAAGCTTCTGAGCAAAATGGAGGCAATATCTTATGCATGCTCGGTAGCAGCAGATACTTCCCAACATGATAGGAAACTCCCCTCATGCGCATCCTACCTCCACCATTTTGGGAAAAACAGGGCAATGTGAATTGTGCATGCATGGTATCACTCAAGGCTCTAAAGCATGC